AACTGGTTTTAACAGCACTTTACTTTTATCTCCTTGCCATAGAATGTTTTTGCCAGCGATAACTTAATGCTGAACAGGGAATTTTCCATCTTCTTTCCTTTTTAAAAAATATAGTAGTAATTTGTCAGATGGAGCTGTTGTAACACTGTGAAGACCAGGAGGTAGCAGTGTAGGATTTATTTCATTTTTATCATCTTTCGTTTCTTCGTACTTGCCAGTAAGACCACGGACTGTGGGATTCTTAACTGCCTCACATGCTGGGACTGGGGAGAGTATCCTAGGATTCTCCAGGAGGCTTAAGTTGAAGCAGCAATATCTAAGAGGAGAGATCCTTGGTGCTTTCTGAGCTTGGTTGTTGCAGACGTTTCATTACCCAATCTAGGTAACATCATCAGTGACTAGAAACCAACCAACCTCATAGAGCACCGAGCACCTCTCATTTCAATCCTGAGCCGCACATATTCTCCTTTGTCGGCAGCAATATCTGTCAAGAAGCAATATCTGTCAAGCAGCTTCATCCAAGCAAGGTTAGGATGTGTAAACCCAGGAGATTTGGGGGAAAGAAGGGTTGAGACCTCTAGCCTTTTGCCATATACAGGTAGTCCTCGACTTACAACCACAATTGAGCCCCGAATTTATGTTGCTAGGTGAAAAATGTGTTGAATTATGCCCCATTTTTACGACTTTTCTTGCCACATTTGTGAAGTGAATCACTGCAGTTGTTAACTCTACTAGCAAGGTTGTTAGGTAGATCTGTCTTCCCCATTGACTTTGCTTGCCAGCAGGTCACAAAAGGGGATCATATGACCCCAGGACACTGCAGCCATCATAAATGTGGGCCATTTGTCAAGCATCTGAATTTTGATCATGCGACCATGTTGTAAGTCACCTTTTTCAGTGCCGTTGTAACTTCAAACAGTCACGAAATGAACTGTTGTAACTCGAGGACTGCTTTTTGTAAATCGGACTTCATCATTTTAGATTGCTGTTGTATTCATATGTGTATTTCTACATGTAAGAAACTGGAAGTCAAATTTTATATTATAGGGATCAGGTCTAATTAGATTTTCAAAGTCCAAATGCACAACTGGCATTTCCTTAAAAGTTTACTAGATAGCAGATGGATATCTATCCATACAAAGCAATTTAATTATGCTAAAACTACTATACAGTAGGGCAAACTGCCCCCCCCCCCTTTACCAATTTCAATATGGGGATAGGCATGCTTTGCTATATCGTGTTCCCTATATTGAGGGCCTAAATCTGTGCATGCAGTTTTTCCCCATCTTTGGGCTGAATTAGTACTCTCCATGTGCTGTGATGTTTGCTTTTTCTGAATATGTTTCTCTAAGTGAGCCAAAGCAGCACTATGATTTTTTGGCAGTCAAAAAAATAATAATAATTCCTGGGAGGTGTTAAAGAGAAGATGACATCTCCTTGACAAAGGACTGCATGGAGTATATCTGGATGTTTGCCCAGAATACTTGAGGTGAAGATTATCCTTCTAGGTTCTTTTAACCATTAGGTTAAAACTGTTCCATGTGTTAAAAAGCAACAAACAAACAAAAACAATGGTTGGTTGGGTAATTTCAATCTTGGATGGCGTTTTTTTAAAAAGTATTTCATGCTCACTAGCATTCTTTTTTTTCTTCTGTGATGCTTCCAGCTTTGAAATACAAGTAAATTGTCTCAGTAAATTAATATTTTAAAACTGATCAAAAAGGTGTCATCAGTTCAGCTCTCAGAGTCCTAATGAACACATGCAAGAGTTATTAAAACCATATTTAAACCTTGCGGTGGTTAATCCTTTTCTTTCTCTGAGGCGGGCCATGTTGCAGTTAATCCTGCTGGAATTAAGCCTCTCATCAAATAATATCTGTGCCTGGATCAAGTTTATTTCTCTGTAATTTAATGAAGTAAGGTGAACAAGTGAAGGGGGCTCACTATTTTTGCCTAACCTTATCATTGGCCATAAAGGTAACTTTTCTGCAGTACAGTATGGGAAAGTTTCTTCTGGATCTATTGAAAAGGAGATAGGTTCCTGAGAGCATCTTGCCAGCCAAAGTTGTAGGATAGCATATATAAATATCAGGCCAACTTTCCTTTCCTTCTCATGATCCCCTCTAACTTCCAGATTAAGAGTACAGAGCATCAAGAGGCATGAATAAATGAATACTGTAGTACAGATTCCATCATTACTAATTGTTGTTCATTCTGGTGGGGCAATGATAGAAATTGGAGTCCAACAACTTGTGGTGAGCCACACATTCTCTATCCTTTTTTACGAGATGGTGCTAAGCATAAGACGAGCATCTTGCCTTTGTTTCTGTCCATCAATGTCAGAATATACAGTACATGGCAATGGAGAATGAGGAGGATTAGGAACCATGATAAAGATCACATAATCCATAATATTAATAGGGAAAGCAGGTGAAAGCGGTCTAGAGAAAAGAAGGACTAGAGGTGACATGATAGCAGTATTCCAGTATTTGAGAGGTTCCCTCAAAGAGGAGGGGTCAACTTATTTACCAAAGCACCTGTAGGCAGGACATGAAATAATGGATGGAAACTAATCAAGGAGAGAAGCAATCTAGAACTAAGGAGAAACTTCCTAACCGTGAGGACAATTAACCAGTGGAACAGCTTGCCATCAGAAGTTGTGGGTGCTTCATCACTGGAGGCTTTTAAAGAGATTGGACAGTCACTTGTCTGAAATGGTATAGGGTCTCCTGCTTGAGCAGGGGATTGGACTAGAAGACCTCAAAGGTCCACTCCAGCTCTATTCTGATTGATTGATTGATCGTTAATCTTCACTAATGATCATCACTAGCGATCATTAATATTAATGGGAAGTAGGTGGCAGCAATTATAAACCCAAATAATGTAAAACAAATACAGTCTCTATTCATAAAGCAGACTTAATAATATAAACATTATGGCAATAGAAGGCTAATTAACTCCTGTAGTGGAATAAAGAGTCATTATTTTGATTCAGGTCGCTTATGATAGAATCAGATTTCTTAATTAGTTGTGATTCAGTGGTTTACTTGTGGAGTTAGCTTTCATTTTCTTAAATCTTCCAAATAATCACTTTAATGACAGTAGCAGTTTCCTTGGGAAGTTCAAATATTTTCCCAATTTATTTTGAATGTTGCCATTTCTGCCCTTGGATCTGTATATGTCTAATGTTTTGTCTAAATAATAATTATTTGATGTTGAACGCAGAATGCAGTTGAGAATATGCTGCACTGGAAGATTAACTGTTAACAACCTTTGATATTGGTGCTGACATTATTACATCTTGTACTGCTGCCAGAGAAATTATCTAGAATGTATGAAAGTACTCCAAATGTATTTTGGAAATGTAAACAACGTGAAAGGACATTTTATCATTCTTGGTGGACATGTAAAATAGCTGGAAAATATTGAATTCAAATTCATACTTAGATGCAGACAGTGTTAAAAACCAATATTCAATTGAAGCTGGAACCTTTCTTTTTAGGATTAATGGATAAACAGGTAGAAAAAAAGCCATGGAAGATTATTTCAGTATATGATTACTGTGGTGAGATTACTATATGCACAGAGATGGAAAGATTGGACACTACCCAATACGGAGGAATGGCTGGTGAAGTTAATAGATATTGCTGAAATGGATAAATTAACTTTTTTGAGTAGAGGAAAGATATTATCTAAATTTCTTGGAGACTGGTGGCCTTTTTGTGTAAAAATGGATTTGTGATCTGTGCTTTGATAATTAAACACAATAGGTTATGGAAAGAAAAACAATATGCAACTTTAGAAAAATATTAAAATATATTTGTACTTTTAACTGCTGTGAAGAATATCAAAGCCATTTCTTTATATCTTTTTTATTTTCTCTTTTCCCTCAACTTTTTTCTTTTCTTCCCCTTTTGGTTTTTCTTTGATTTCTATCTTTTTCTTTTTTATATATATATATATAAAGATGCGGTAGTAACGGAAGCCATGGATAGCAACAAATTATGTTTTGACATATTTCTTCTATGCCTGACTTATAACAGATTACTTCTGGGTATTAATGTGCCATTATTGATCTGTAGGAGTAATTTGTTTTTTAGTGCTACATCTCACAAAACTTGCATTTTTATATACTTGTTTATCTGTGATCTTTTAAATATCCAGCATCCTGCTGTGCCTGCGGAATGTGCAGTTTGACAAAAATGTTCCGTCAGAAGCATTTTAAAGTTGCAATTGTGAGATAAGGGGCTAGGTGATTTGATTAAATAATTAAATAAAGCGAGCTGTTGTTTAGATGCTTGGCATCTCCAGAAAAATTCCATGGAAATAAGATATAGCAGGGAGACAATCTGAAAGTTAAAAAAAGAAAAGAGTGGTGGACCCCTTTACCAGAATAATAGGAAGAGGAAGTGGAGAAACTAGTTTGAGATGAGACATGCCAGGAGGCAACCCAATTTGGGAGAGAAGGAAGGGAACTGGGGTGCAGGCTGGAGATGGCGTCTGAGGACAGCAAGAAGGGTGAGAGAAACCTAAGCAAAGAAATAGGAAAACAAAACTGTGGTTCTCTATTTGAAGAGGGAGTTTTTGAAAAAGAGAGGGAAATTAAGGACTTTTAAACTATGCCTGTGATTTAGTATTTAATTCTCCACCTCTAATTGTTAGCAAGTTACTTAGCCGTTATGAATAATTGTAGCTCCTAATAAGAAACTTATTATGTATCATATGTAATGCGTGTTGAATGGGTTGGTATGAGTGTGGTGTATGTAGTGCATGTGTATATAACACATAAATAGAGATTTAGAGATAACTGATCTATCTACTGGAAGGTATGTATGTATGTATGTATGTATGTATGTATGTATGTATGTATGTATGTATG